GCATATTGAGTAGATTTTTTTGCTATATAGATAATGTTTATCGCAAATAATTTCAATAGAATTTAATTTTTTCAAGTTGGTAGCGGGTTTTAGTCCCATAAGAAAAGCATAAGACTCCCCCTGCGATCCTCACTTCCCTCGGACCTCGATATACCTCCGTAAAGTAAAAATTTTTGAAAATTTTAAACGCGTTTTTCACACTTAGCTTTTTCAGAGCACCGATCCCTTTGAAATTTTGCACTCTTTCTTTACATAAATGACGAGGTAACGCTGTCTAACTTTAACACATTTTAAAATAACCAAATTTCCGATTTTTTTTTTAATGAAAAATCGGTATTTTGAGCTCTGTGCTGTAAAAAATTGAAAAATCTATAATAAAAGAAAAATTCGACAGGGTTCCCTACAGAAACTTATCAACTAATGAAATCATTTTAATTTTTGATTTCAGATGATTTAGTAATGAGTTATGAGTGGCACCGCAATGGAACTTTTTTGAGACGTCTGCGGAGATTCACTATCAATAGCTCATTTCTTGATATTTATTAATGAAAATTTCACAGAATATTCTTTAAATATTATTTTATCATGTAGTAATTATAGAAATAAATATATATAAACTATATCGTCAAAAAAATTGTCGAAAATATGCTTTTTTGTATCGAATTAACCTTCCCCCTACCCTCAAGAAATAGCTTGCTGTCAAAAAACTAAAAAAATTAATAAATAAGCATTTGTGTAATAAATTTTATAAGTTTATCGAAAATTCCTTACCCATCCCAAACATTTTCCTCTATCTCCATTGAAGTCTCCTCAGGTTTTTCCAGTTTTATTTCAATTTCCTCTGTTTTAACGTAAGAATGACTTTTGATTTTCTCTTGTGCATCAAGGCAGTTCTGTAAAAAACCATCATGAGTATGAAGCGAATCAAAACATGGTCCACATATTACAGGATCCTTAGTAGCAGTCATGTTCTACAACAAAAAATATTAGTGTTAATTTCTGACAATATCTATAGTTTTATTAATTGAAGAACATAATTTTCAAGTAATTCTACCCACATTGACATAAAGAGCTCTATGATTCCAGAATACAAACTATTTCAGCTCCATTTAACAGATGTCAATGGAAAAAAAGATTTGCGTTGAATCATAAAATGTTTTGTTCAGATTACAGTATAGACAGAATAAGGACAGCGAGTAAATTTATAAATGAAATCTTTCTGATGAAATATGATGTAATTATTTTAAACGACGATATTGCAATTCACGCTTATAATTTGTAATTTCTGCTATATTATTAGACATTATTTACAATTGTTAGTGTTATTAAGAGGTTGGGATAACAGTAATCTGTAAAATTACATAATTAAAATGAATGCAACTTTGTTGCAATTTAATGTACTTTTTAATTGGGTAAATTCTAGGAAAAAAACGTGAAAACAATTTTGTTTTAATTAATAATTGTTAAGTTTAGAATTTGTTATAAAAAAAGGAAAGAGCAAAATAATATTTTGTAGTTGTAATATGTCTCAAAATAAATGAATACAAAAATTATCAGTAGTAATAGGTACAAAAAATAATCGCGATCTGTAAAGTTTTAAGCTGTTCATAAGAAAATCTGCAGATGTCCTCATTCTCAATAAAATTGAAGTTGTTGAAAACACTTTTTTTGTAGTTAAATGCTTTAAAGTCATAACTTTTTTTTTAATATCTTTATAGTTTGTTTAGCTCTATACACTTTTGTAATTTTTTCAGTATAACCACTTGTCAATTTATCAGACTTGCTTTTGGCGGTCTGGGTGCTTACACTAAAATAACAAAAGTTCTCTTATAATAAAGAAAACAATAATGGATGATACATAAATTTTTATATTCGAAACATATGATACTTCGAATAGTTGTTTTTTTCAAAATTTTTCTACATCTATCTATATCAGAATTACTTCCAGATGATATCCAACAAGTTGTACTTAATTTAGAACTTCTTGCAGAAGATCTCTTTAAAGTGAATTACAGATTTGGGCTTTTATTATTACCAGTTTGTAACGTTTGAATTTTAAATTTACATTACGAGTAAAAAAATAATAAGTTATTTTAATTGCTGCACAGGTAATTCTTGCGATATGGTTTCTTTTGATCTTCCAATCTTGGTCTCTCCAATTTACAATTAGATTATTTTTAGATTTTTAAGGTTAGTTAAGTGGTTAAGTTGATGGTTAAGTATTATTAGTAGTATTAGTAATATAGATATTAAATTTTGGTACATGTTTAAGGTTTCGACAATTATTTTTCTTTATACCACACCTTGTATAGTTGGAATTTATTCGTTGTGGTTACTTCCAAATTCTCTTTTCCCTCCTCTAAAGTTTTGTAATGTATCCACCCGGTCGATTCAGGTCTCCAGAAGATATAGGTAGTCGTTCACAAAACTGTCTCACACCGATACATTTTCCATAAACTAAAACATATTTTTAATTAGATAGTTTAGTTTTAACTTCAGATAATTATTTTAAACAAATAAAAACATAGATGGCTACTTACTTACGGGTTGGATTAAGAAGTAAATTTTTATAATTACTCTTTATTATTCATTTTTCCGATTTCTAATGTATATCTTCATTTTCCATAGTTAAATTATTCTTCTCAAACATATTTATAACCTGTTGAATGTTCACAATGTCGACATATTTTATTTTCCCAACTGATTCATGGTTTATTTTCCTTTTCAACCAACCAAGTCTGCCAGTCATACCAACCAACTGATTATTAACTTTAAGATCCACCAATCAAGAATTTGTTTAATCGCAAGATTCTCTGACATAATTGTAAATAAAGCAATTAACTGTTTATTTAATTTTGGGTAAAAAAGGAACATTAATACATGATTATGTTGTCGGAAAATGTATTTAATTGTCCATAATAAATCTTATTCTGAGACTAGCGACATCTTTCGCGAAGTGACGAAACTTTATGGTTATACATGTTTCATGTTACTTATTAGTGGTGAACTTTGCTACGGCGGGTTTTTCATCGTAGGATTTTGAAAATTTAAAGAGGTGTGTGTCAATTTTCCTTATAAGTGAAATCTGAATTTATCCGTGTGTGGGACCTTTTTGAATACACTAAAAATTAAGTTTTCTGAGTGAAAATTTGTTTTGGTTGGCAATTTGTGTGATATTTTCCAAGAAAACTACTCCATTGAGGATTTAATTGCCTCTTGGACATTCCATGTGATTACCTTTTGCGGGCCATCATTTCTCCACCAGGAAGGCCCTTATCCTGGAAGAGAACACCCATATGTAATGTTTTTTTCTTTGGAAATTTGGTGAGCACTTGTTAACAGGCAAGATATTCCCAGCTTGGACCTAGTCGATCTGCCTTTACAACAATTATTAGCCCCAACTCCAATATTGCAACTTCTGGATGACTACTCCAGAGTTTCTTCCCAGGAGCGAGACAACTTCTACTGCCAAACCAGAGCTGGGCAACTTCTGAATCCTTTCCGGGGGCATCGTATTGCGAACTGGACAGTGTGCCAGTTTATCACCTCCGGATCGAGGGCGAACCAACAACCAACCGTTTTGTCAGCGGGACCCCCACCGAGACCCAGACTATCGCCTCCTGTTTAAGGGCCAACCCGTTCTGTCAGCAGGACCTCTACTGAGACCTTGTACTGGTGTCACGCAAGTCTCCATTGGCACCGGCGATTGGGGGTGTTGAAAAATAATTTGTACATACAGTTTTACTTTTAATTTAGCTTATAACCTTTCGATACCTACTTACCATAGTTTACAATTTATTCATTTTTACCATATGTATAAGTAACTTTAATAATAGATATTATAGAGTTTAGACATTTACTTGTAGATTACATAAGGTGTTGAGCTTTAAGCTCACATCTTTTATTTTGAATATACCAAGTGTTGATCCCTAATCCAGCTGATTTGATATGACAACAGGGCGCTATGGATCTTAACAGCAAGAAATATTTTTAAAATGTTTTTAAATGATTGAAAAAAGGTGAAAATTTAAATAATAATTATCAAAATATTATCGCAAAATGTTTTTAAAAGGTTTCTGAAATGTGAAAGCAAATATTTGATTTAATTTTTTATGCAGATTAATGATATATTTTTAAAATATCACACAAAAAGTGTATTTTGTAATTTAATAAACTTAATATTAAAAAATTTAATAGCCCTTAATTTAATTAAATAAATCAAAAAACAAAGTGAAAAGTTTTCAATGTACAGATGAAAATAGATAAAGTTTTTAGATCAGCCAGTACAATAACAGGGTATTAAGTTTCAAGCTCAGCTTGGGGACTGTACAGAATTAATTTAACAGAGTTAATAATCGTAAGTTTTAAATCAACCTACTTGCAATATACCTATAGCTAGTAGCTAGTACACGTTTATATTTGGCACTTCAAGAATTAATCCAGGTGGCGTAGTAATTGCCAATCCAGGCCAGACAGGACGACCGGAGTTGTTCCCTTCTACTGTGATTGTATGTGACTCCACACATTTTCAACGTTCTTATCAATACTAGCGTACCTACCATAGAGTTTATGGAATGCTTTACTATTTTAATTAAAAGTAAGTAAAAGTTTAACTGTATGTCTTAGAAGTTATTGGTAAACAGTAATATGTAAAATGCTTATGTCCTACTTCGCTATACATATTATGTAAAAGAAGGCCCAAACTTCAAATTTATTGAAAGTAAATGTTACAAATAACTTCTTATAATTTGATATAGTGCAAAAAATCATGTGGCATACAAAATGAAAGGGAAATATAAAATGTACAAAGTTTGTTAATTATTCTGAAAAAGGTTGTCTGCATGTTAAAAATCAATGAACCATTTGAAAAATTAAATTTACAATGAAAAATGCTTAAAAATAATTTGATGTAACCTTCAATATTATTCAATTCATTATTCAATATTATCTTATTTAATTCAGGAACTGAATACAGCATAAATAAAAACATATTCCTAGAAAAGCCTCTAAAGCATTTATTTTTTTTTAAAGAAACCAAGTTGAATATGATACTATTTGAAAAGCATCGATATGTATATAAATTTCTTACAAATCTTTTTATCGTTTTTAAAATACTTTTAAAATTAGTTTCATAACTACACCTACAACAGTTCTACACTTGATTTCTGCAGACTAACTGATGTACTTTCAGATGATTTTTATTTTAGTCTCATAACTACACATATTACACCTGCGTATTTAAATTTTATGAATTAACTGATGCTTATTTAGACTGATCTTATACTTAGTTTCAAAAGTACAAGTATCGCATTTGTACATTTGGATTTCTGAAGAATTTTTGTGCTTTAACTGATGCATCTTCAGGCAGCTCTTATATTTAGTTTCAAAACTACACATATCACATTTGTACATTTGGATTTCTGATATATCTTTATGTATTAATTGATGCTTTTTTAAACTGCTTTTCAAATGAGTTTCATAATTACACTGATCACACTTGTACACTTGGATCTCTGAAGAATCTTTGTGTATTAACAGATGTGCTTTTAGATGACCCTTACATTTAGTTTCATAATTACATGTATCACACTTGTACATTTGGATTTCTGAAGGGTCTTTGTGCATTAACTGATGTCTTTTCAAATAACTCTTATGCTTAGTTTCATAACTACACACATCACACTTATACATTTGGATTTCTGAAGGATCTTTGTGTTTTAATTGATGTATTTTTAAATAGTTTTTAAAATGAGTTTCATAACTACACTGATCACACTTGTACACTTTGATCTCTGTAGAATCTTTATGCACCAACTGATGTGTTTTCAAATGAGTCTTTCGTTTAGTTTCATAACTACACGTATCACACTTGTACATTTTGATTTCAGAAGGGTCTTTGTGCGTTAACTGATGCTCTTTTAGATATCTCTTATATTTAGCTTCATAGGAGCATGTATCACATTTGTACATTTGGATTTCTGAAGAATCTTTGTGTAAGAATTTATGTTTATTTAGGTCACTCTTCTGTTTAGCTTCATAAGTACAAGTATCACATTTGTACATTTGGATTTCTGAAGAATCTTTGTGTGTTAATTGATGCGATTTAAGACTTCTTTTAAACTTAGTCTCAAAACTACACGTATCACACTTGTACATTTCGATTTCAGAAGGGTCTTTGTGTGTTAAGTGATGCTTACTTAGATGGTTCTTATATTTAGTTTCATACGTACAAGTATCACACTTGTACATATGGATTTCTGAAGAATCTTTGTGCATTAACTGATGTATCTTCAGATATTTTTTATACTTAGTTTCAAAACTACATGTATCACACTTCCACATTTGGATTTCCAAAGGGTCTTTATGCTGTTTGTGATGCCGCTTCAAATGGATCTGATGTTCAGTTTCAAAATTACAGATCTCGCACTTGTACTTTTTCACTTCTGAAGGGTTTTCATGTATTAACTGATGCCTCTTCAGATTTGCTTTAAGGTTAGTTTCATGTTTATATTTATCACATTGGTACGATTGTGTACCTATCAAAGGTTCACATTTCTGAAGTCTAGACGTTTCGTATTTGGGTATCTGGATGTTGTCAACTAACATCAACATTTTGTAGTTTTTGTTAAGTCCTGTGTTACATTTATATTCTTCCCTTATTACTCCTACATATTCTGAAATGTGTCCCTTCTTGTTTTCAGCGCCTAAGTCATACGAAGAAGGAACACTGAAAAATTTAAAAATGGTCACAATGAAATAAATACGAGTTAAAATAAGTGTTTTGAAAAATGTATTAACAAAAAATCTAAAACAGTTAAATGAGGTACTCCTAATCAAATCTAAAATGTTCTATGTCACTGATTAGGAAATGTCTTGCTATCAAAAACGACAAAAGTTAATTGGTATTGCAATTATATAAAAAAATTTGTGTTGGTGACTGCTAGGTGATGCCTACTGGTACAAAGTACTGCTTTGTACTTACTGGCAGAGAGTGACCTACTAATCTGCAATTACTATGGAAGTAAGGCCACTATTGTATTAGTCAAAACAAAGCTTTTAGCTAATGATATTGTAGGAAACAACTGCTCTGTGGACTAAAGCCGCGTACAGCACTGAATTACACTTGCAATAAGTATTTAATAAACAGCTAAGATCATTCTTCCGCAGAATAACCAGACATAGACGATGGGTACTAAGTAACAATAACATTTAATAAAACTTGACTTACCCATCCCGACCATCTTCCTCTCCCTTTATTTCAATCTCCTCAGATTTGATATAAGCCGGAATATCAAGACATTCATATTCCTCCTGCCCATCCTGATCATCTTCCAGTTTTATTTTAGTCTCTTCAGATTTAATAACAGACTCATTACCAGCACTTTCGTAGTTTCCCTGTGCACTAAGGCATTCCTTTAAAAAACCGCCATGTGTACGAAGCGAATCAAAACAAGGTCTGCATATAATAGGGTCACTGGTAGCACTGATATTCTATAATAAAAAAATTCGTGTTAATCCTTAAACAAATATCTGTTTTAATATTTTAGTTCAGTATTTTCAGCATCTTATTTACTAAATTAAAAAAGTATAATTATGGGTACATATGTTTTGCAGATTAAAAGTGATGGGGTAGAAATGCTTTGTGAAATCAATTATGTATTGTTAGTATTGTTAGGAAACATTTTTAATTTTTATATTATATTAGATATTTTTAAGTACAAATATATACATTACCTATTTAAGTATTTATGTTTTTAGTGAATCCACAGAATCTTAAATTATTATTGTAAGAAATATTTATTCATGTAAAAGCTATATGTGGACTTATTTCACTACATACTTTCACTCATTTTGAATTTTATTGAACACAATCTCCAAACTGTAAAATTTTCAATTGTCTCCGTTTATTACAATGTGCTGTCGAATTGTGGGGGGTCTCTGCAGACCGAAAAGGACATGAGGTCTGCTATAAATTGTTTTTGATAAAAAAATAAAAGAACGAATATGTTCGGTTTGCACTAAATGTTTTCTTTTTCGTTTTAATTGGGAACAATAAAAACCTTTATTATTATTGTTATTATTATTAAACACACCCACTGGGAGAGCAATTGGACCCCAAAATAACAGATTTAACTTTATCAATAGTTTGTTGAAGTTTCTGCATTAGAACTAATTTTTTAGCAACTGTAAAGACATCCAATTCTATGATTATGATCTTGATTTTGATAAGAATTTGAAATTTACTGAGTATACTCGTATAGATACACAATTTTGTTATTATCAAAAATTGTCTCATATCTGTAATTGCTTTATCGGATACTTGATTTCGCTAAACTAAATTTTCAAATATAGTATGTCAAAATAATAATATAAAATTGTAACGTACTTTTCTCGGTTGCCAAATTTTTGTAACACCCTTTATATATGGTTTTGAATTTGCGGTGGTGACGGTTCGGTTCAGACGTTACTTGTGGCTGCCCCCGGTATACTACCAACTCTAAACGGAATCTTAATTCATAAGTGCAAATTTTAATTTACTAGATTTATTGACGTCACTGACGTCCCTATTTGGACGCCTACTTNTATTTTTAAGTACAAATATATACATTACCTATTTAAGTATTTATGTTTTTAGTGAATCCACAGAATCTTAAATTATTATTGTAAGAAATATTTATTCATGTAAAAGCTATATGTGGACTTATTTCACTACATACTTTCACTCATTTTGAATTTTATTGAACACAATCTCCAAACTGTAAAATTTTCAATTGTCTCCGTTTATTACAATGTGCTGTCGAATTGTGGGGGGTCTCTGCAGACCGAAAAGGACATGAGGTCTGCTATAAATTGTTTTTGATAAAAAAATAAAAGAACGAATATGTTCGGTTTGCACTAAATGTTTTCTTTTTCGTTTTAATTGGGAACAATAAAAACCTTTATTATTATTGTTATTATTATTAAACACACCCACTGGGAGAGCAATTGGACCCCAAAATAACAGATTTAACTTTATCAATAGTTTGTTGAAGTTTCTGCATTAGAACTAATTTTTTAGCAACTGTAAAGACATCCAATTCTATTATTCTGATCTTGATTTTGATAAGAATTTGAAATTTATTGAGTATACTCGTATAGATACACACTTTTGTTATTATCAAAAATTGTCTCATATCTGTAATAGCTTTATCGGATACTTGATTTCGCTAAACTAAATTTTCAAATATAGTATGTCAAAATAATAATATAAAATTAAGTGTCAACATTTTGCTTCTTGAAACTAAATTACTGAAGGGTACGTTTATTAGAAAAAGTTACTTTAATTTTGGACACAGTATACATTTTTCCTAGTTTCATCCATATCAAGTAAGTTTTAAAATGAAACTATGACAGATTCAAAAAAAATTCTCAAGAGACGATTTTTGATCGAAACTAAGGTGTGTACGTAAAAATTTAATAAACTAAAATTTATACTGGGTGAAACAACCTTTTTCATCAAATTACTGGTACTAACTAGTTACATCTTCGATACTGGTTGCATGGAGAGCTTGACAAAAACACATATTACAGCAGTGTATATGGTCATACTGTCTACCAAATTTGGTTTCGATAATAAAAAAAGTCAAAGAATAATTTTTTCTGATACCAGTAAATCTACATTTCAAAAGAACACGATCTGCAAAAAATCGCCTTAGTAAAATGTTCACCCCTGAAGAGATATGGGCCATCAAAGTTTCCAAAAAAATTATGAAAATTGGCTGTAATTTGAAAACCAAATGAGGTACAAATAACAAATTTTTTACAGGTTGTTTACTAATACAGATGCGAGTT